TAGTGGTGTTGGGAACGTGTTGAATTGGCCCAAGCTCATGTGTACATGCCATTTTCTGTGTTTATCTTTTCTGTTTACATGTCTGACCTTCTTTCTGAAACTATTTATTATGTTCTTGAAGTCTTTCATCTTGAAGAACCAGAGCTTCCTGGTGAAGGTGTTTGGTGTTGAGTTCTCTCAGTGCTGTCTGAAGAGTCTCTAGGTCTCCATCTCTCTTACACAGTAGTCCCACTGTGCACAGGAGTCTCGCTTAGCAGTTCAATTTTCTTAAATACTTGGAAGATGAATTTGTGCCATCTCATGACTTCCATTGGGAAATTAGCTCTTGGTCTGATGGAAATTCATTTGGATATTTCCCCTTTCCCCACTCCTCCAGACCCCTGAGATGTGTTTGTATCCTAAGGAACTCGAACTGTCCTGTAACTTTCAAAATGTCTTCATTGAGTGGAATTCACTCCCATCAGCTGAGTGGTTTGTGTGTGTGTGTGTGTGTGTGTGTGTGTATGTGTGTGTATATTCAAGAGATGTGCAGGCATCACTGTGATCTGAGTTTAGAACAAGCTGGGAACCCCAAAACATTGCATCTCTTCAGGTGGTTGGCCTTCACGCCCAGCAGCGGGGCAGAGGACGCCATGTTTGATCCCATCACAGCATGTGCCCAACACAAGGAGGGAGTCTCTGGGTGAGGCTGCCCCTGGGGGATGGGAACTGTCCATTAAGGGCCACTGTTTCTATAGGCAATATTTTTTCTTCCTTAAGCATATTCCAGAGTTTCCAGAGAATGAGTGAGCATGCTGCTTTCTCTGTGGAACTTCAGGATGAGTGTAGGCTAATTTTCCTAGCCAACTGCTTCTTTTGCTTTGGTTCTCTTGAGAATATTTTATGATAGCCACATGGCCTTTTTTGGGCACCCATGGATTTCATGAATAAATGAGAAAGCATCTTTGAAGTACATTCTACCTGGAACAGCATACTCTGACAGACTCCCACTGAGAGATTGTTGCCTCCTTTTGCCTTTGTAAATGTATTTTATTCTCATTTATTTAGGTACCTGTCACAAAAGAGAAAAAGGTATACTCATGCTTATTCATTAGTGACTCTTGAGGAAGTGTGCAAAAATGGACGTGGTCCCCAGGTGGATGGTTGCCAAGCCATAGCGGGGTCCTGAGCAGGCTTGGTGGGGTGTTTACTGTACAGTCCTGACCCCATGATGTACTGAAGAGCAACCTGGACTGGGAGCTCTTCAGGTGCTCAGTGCTGGGGTGGTTGTGCTGTGTCATAGCAGAGCCAACGGTCATGAGTTCTGGTTTTGGCCGTGCCTCAGAGAGACTGTAGTATTGAGCAGGTGCCTCATCTTTTCGGAGCCTCCACTTTCCCTTCTATGGCGTTGTTAAGAGGCTGTGTGCCTCACAGGGAGTGAGGAGTGAGAGGCCGGGCACCTAGTGCCCCATGCCGCCAAGCTAAGGGCATCCGAGTCACCATGTAAGTAGAAGAACTGGAGAGGATTTCCAGAGGCTGAGGAGTCCCCCAGCAGCCATCTGCACACTGGACACGGGAAGCAGGAGTGTGACTCAGCCCAAGTTCAAAGACCTCAGGACCCTGGAAGCTGATGGGGTCACTCCAATCCAGAGCTAAAGGCCTGTGAACACAGAGGGCCACTGGCTCAAGTCCTGGAGTCCCAAGTCCAGAGAGCCCACGGTTCTGAACTCCAAGGGCAGGAGGAAGAGTGTCCCAGCTCTGAGAGAGCGTGAAACCGCCTTTCCCTTGCTTTGTTTGTTCTGCCCAGGCCCCAGGCTGATTGGATGGTAGCCGCCCACGCCAGGTCACATTCATGCCAATCTCCAGACACCCCCAGAAGTGAGGGCTTGCCAGTTTTGGGTTTTCCTTAGTTTGTTTGAGTTGACACAACATTAGCTGTCCCCATGGTCACCCCTTCCAGTGTGGCTGCTTTTATTGTGACCCTGTATTTTCTTTTCACTGCGTGTTCCTGCTTTCAGCTGTCATTCTTCTCCCTTGTCATCATGGCTGTGACATGGCTGAATTCAAGAGAAAACTATGAATTCAGCATTCAAAATGGTATTTCTGAATTGCCAAGAGGTGCTGTTAATAGGAAAATGGAGTACCATAGTGGTAACTCTGAAACTCTCTAAAATCTCACTTCATTCTCGCTGCTCCACAGGGCTCATACCGTCCACACGCACCCGCCATTCTGGTAAGCCCACAAATGCTTTGGTCCTTCCGCAGGTGCCTTCATCTGCTTTACCTTTCTTGGTCCTGTTTTCCCATTAGTTGGCAGCCCAACCTCTTCTCTATGCTGTTTGTGACATCCCAGGTTGGCAGAAAAAGTGGCCAAATGATTGAGTGTCAGCCCTGTCCCAGCTGGAGGGGCTCTGCCCCGGTATTCCCAGCGAGTTGTTTCCTGTCACACATCCTTCTAACTGATAACTCACCCTCCTTCTGCTGCCCTGTCCTACTCCACGTGGCTCTCCTGTGGGCTGAAGGCTCATGCTGGCTTCTGCCCGCACCTGAGCAGGACCCTGCCCAGTTCACAGTTCCCACGCTCCTCATCCTTCCATCTCCATTTGGATCAGAGAGCAGAATTCTGGTGTATGAGAAGGACAGAATGGTTTCTTAGTGTTTTTTCTGAGCTTGAAGACAGATATTTGAGTTTCTTTGAGATTCAAGGTCTGTGCCCAAAAGGAGGCAATTTTCTGATGTAAATCTAACTTTTTCGCAAAATGCCCATGTTCCAGACCCTTCCAGCTGCCGGGCACTGCAGATCTGTCTTTCCAAAGGTGCTTTTGCAGCGCTGATGGAGTCCCTAGAGGTGGCTCCCTATGCTCAGCCTGCCTGTGTGTGGAGCAGAGAGCAGCAGGGCGTGGCTCTCAGCACAGAGAGGTGCTGGAATGCAGGGGAAGGAGGACCTGCTTCAGTTAGGGCAGCTAGAGAGGCTCTGAGGAAGAGCTGCATCTGGATTGAGATGGAGATTCAGGGACATCTGGGTGAGCAAGGATGGTTGCCACAAAAGTGACAAAACATGGGGCAGAACAGGGAGTGACAAGGAACGCATTTGGGCACAGGAATTGTGAATTCCTGTTGCAGGGGCTGAGGGCTGTCAGAGCTGGCTGCAGCACTGTGGGAGCTGCCTTGTCTCTGGTCTGCTCTTCACTTAGTGTGCTGTTCTTGGGATCCCAGCAGGACTTCTGCATTCTTCCCTTTCCATCCTTCATCTCCATGATTGACAGTTTTTTTTTTTTTTAAATTCACGATTGCCCCGTGAATATATCAGAACCTGTGCTCAGACTCTCAGGCTCTTGGTTAATCTCCTGGAATTTGCAGATACCTGTAGAGGGAAGTCCCTGCCAAGGTCTTGTCTTGGTCTTTCTCCTCTTGTGCTAGATCTTTAGCCCTGAGATTCTCCACTGCCTCGTGAGCGCTTTCCTGCTTGGACAGATTTCAGGATGACTTTGCCTGTGTTTTCCAGTTGGTCTCTGTGCCCAGTGGGTCCGAATTGCCTGAACTGTTGGTTTCAGGAGTAGGATCTCCTGAAGTGTGAGCTGCCGTGGGACATCAAATGGGCCACAGTTGCTCACATTTGATGCTTGAATAAAGGCCTGCGAGGCAGCTACATTTTCTTTGAACTTTCTCACGTGCTCACTCAGTCTTCCCGGTCATCTTCCATGGGCACTTCTGGAGGGAACAGATCAATTTGTAATTTTCTTTATGGATGCTCAATGTTTGATTTCTGCATTCTATTTTGAATATAAGGTCTAATAAACCTTTCAAAAAGACTGTTTTTAATTTGTTAAATGTAATTTAGCATTAGAAGATTTGAAGGCTCTAAACAGAGAGTTATTTAATTTTCCTTACTTCAGATGAATATTGTTTGACATCCTGAAAATTGAATTACTTACGGGAATATATATTAGCAAATGATGTTTAAGAGAAGTTTTTTTTTTTTTTTTTTAAATCACGAGCCATTTCTGTTATGCTTGGTTAGTTATAAGTTTTTCAAATACATTTTAGGCATAAGTCTTGGGTCTAAGTGGGAATTTGGAAATATCTGTTTTATATGAATTAAATGTAAATGCCCTTCATCTTATAGAAACTTTACTTTGTTTTTAAATTTTTTTTTTTTTAGTTGTAGTTGGACACAGTACCTTTATTTATTTTTATGTGGTGCTGAGGATTGAACCCAGCATCTTCATGTACTAGGCAAGTGCTCTACCGCTCAGCCACAACCCCAGCCCCAAGAAAGTTTACTTTCTTAATAGGAAGTTACTTAGGGGTTTGTTTAAGACAAGTAACATTTAAAAATTGTCATCTTACCATCTCTTTCTACCATATGCTCTTTGATCTCTGCTGTTTGCTTGCTTCTTAAGTCAGAATTAGTGTTAATGTTCAACTCCTGCACAGGCTGCCTTGGGCTGTCTGTCCTTGGAGCCTTGCTGGCCTACAAGTCTAGCATGCTTGGCGCACTCACAGGTGTCCTTGCCAGCTGGTTATTGTTAGGGAGCTCTGGCTACTTGAAAGTAATGTATTAGAAAATAATCTCTTTATGTTATTTTTTAAAATATTTTTTTAGTAGTAGATGGACACAATGCTTTTATTTAATTTTTTATGTGGTGCTGAGGATCGAACCCAGTGCTTCACATTTGCTAGGCAAGCGTTCTACCGCAGAGCTACAACCCCAGTCCGTCTCCTTATAGTCTTGAAAATAATAAAACTATAATTAAAATCTCACCAATTCAGCTGGGCTCCTCTCTTCAGTAGTTGGAATGAGAGGGCCTTGTCATGGCCTTGGAGACCTGTGCAGTCTGTGGCATTTTCTCCTGAGTAAGTGGGCACTTTGTAGAATAGTAAGGACAGAAATTAGAGTGCTCTTCCTGTTGTTAGCATTTTTGAAGAAACAAAAACCAAAAACCCCTACATTAAAAAACAAAAGCCAAAAACAAGCTTGAGCTCTGGTCCGACTTGTGACGTCTGTTCTTGTTTCCTAGATGGAAGCAGTGTGAGCGGCTTCCCCCTGTCCAGTCCTTTCCGACAAGTCGTCCGTCCCCGAATGGAGAGCAGGCCCTCCAACGCCCCCGAGGGCAGCAAGACTGGGGACCTCAGCCACCTGAAGGTGAGTGTGCCCAGGACAGGCTGCCAGCCTGGGGCCTGCAAAGCCTTCCCAGGGTAGCCTGGCTGTGCTGCTCCAAGAGGAAAGGCCGTGTGTGGCTGGAAGTGGCTTCTGTGTTTTCTGTCATGTGGAATGCTTTGGAAAGTGGTCTGGAGGAAGCTTGGCACCTTTTTTTTTTGGTGCTGCAAAGCCTTGTTTCTATGTGAGGGGATTTTGGTGGAATGAAGGAGGACAGTGGTGAGTGGACCATTTCCTGCCTCACTGGTCAGCATTGGAAAATGCATCATGGCGTGATCATTCTGCATGGGTGTTCATCCCAGCTGTGGTGGTGCCTTCCATTTGTTGGTTTATAAGTACATGGGAACAGCTTGACTGTCCCTACAAAGTTGAGATGCTTGGGACTGGCAGGCCAGCCTGAGCAGAGACTGCAGGCTGTCAGGAAGGTGTGAATGGGAGCCATCGTCCCAGAGCCCACCCTGGAGAGCGAGCAGTTGGAGAACTGCAGGACTTGGAGCTGCTGCTGCTGGAGTTCGAGTGAGCATGTACTCCTGCCCAGCCTTTGGGGCTGCTGTTTACGGTCCTCATGCCAAAGTGTCAGGGCACGCTGACTGATGGGGCTGTTGGAGGAGCTTGACTGAGAGATGCTTGGATTAGTCACAAGGAACTGCACTGCAGGGCTGCCCCAGCAGGGCAGCATGGGTGGGGGAGGTGTTGTCTGAAGCAAGGTCTTGGCAGGAGGGACCCAGCCAATGATGTTGGTGGAGGTAGAATTGGCACCTCCTGCAGGAGGACCCATAGTGAAGGCAGTTTGCTGCTCTGCATTGCTGTGCCCATTTCTGGTCCTCACCCAGGGGCCTGGGCATGAGGACAAGATTCCCTCCAGCAGCAGGGAGCAGAATCACACAAGCAAGAAGCTGGTCTGCTGCTGGGGAGGCCTCAGGGTGCCGTGCCCAGTTCTCTACCTGCAGCCGCGCAGTCCTCACCACCAACCTGCGAGGCAGGGCCATGTCAGCGTTCTGTATTTTAGAGGGACACGGTGGCTTGGGCATGATAGATAGGAATCAGCCCAGGAATTTAGTGGCATAGGTATGACAGGCACCTGGCTATCCAGTGCATTCCTGTGCCACCCTCCAATATGCTGGCATGCTCAGGGATGGCACGCCCTTGAGGCGCTGAGGCCAGAGAGAAGTGCCATACAGGAGGCTCTCATGTTCCACTGGGAGATTTAGCACCTTTCAAGCAGCATTTTCAGGTTGCTTTCCTCATGATGGCAAGTGTGCATTATTCAAGTAGAAATTACTGAGTAGCTCAGAGAGATTAACTAATATGCCCAAGGTCAAGCAGTTACTAAGTTGAAGTTAAAACTCAGACCCAGGTGTGTCTGAATCCAAAGCTTGTGCTTTTTCCACAATACCACGCTGTCTCTTTACATATAATTTCCTAAGTTTCTAAACATTGTGGGATACAAAATCTCTATTGATTCAAACTATATTTATAGAGCGGTTGTGTATAAGCTTTTTGGCCTATCTGCCCTCAGTTTCCATTCTGTGAAAAGCAGATAATACAGCTCCTCCTGGGCTATTGTAAGGAGTTAAGTGTCTGCTATTAGCCCTGGTAGATAAGAAAAGCTTACAAAATGGCAAATCCAATTCGCTTCCAAATTATTTCTAATCTGTCCCAGTGATAGTTATAGAGACAGGGGATTTCTTCCTGCAAAGTTTAAGCATAAAAGCTTCAAAGGAATCCTTTAATCTGCTCAACAATTTCAAAACTTAATAAGAAATTTAGAAGTAAGCGATGTGGAGAGAGCCTGCTGCCTGTGGAATTCTAATCTCACACTGATGTTTGAGGCGCTAGGCCAAAGGAATGTTCCTTGAGGTTCCATGACGTGTTAGAACTTGTGCCTCTGTGATCAACATGTTCATCTGAGCCTCTGCAGCATTTCATCCAGTTTGTTCCTTCCACGGATATCTAGTAAGCAACTATTTCATGCCTATTCTGGATGCTGGGGCCATAAGAGAGAACAGAGTCCCAGAGCCATGTTCTGGCAGAAGAAACTGACAGCGAAGATAAATATCAGACTGTGCTAATGCGAGATGGATAAGCAGAGAAGAAACAGGGGCGACTGCCACTTGCTGTTTCAGGGAAAGGGTCTCCAGATGCCTCAGCACTGGCCCTCTGTGAGAGGAGGCAGCCCCTTTCCAGTCTATGTGACACTCTGCTGTCCTGAGGTCAGTGCATTATTTGAGTAACAGCATCACTGCCAAGTTGCCAGTTTTCCCCACTGTATTGTTAGTTTATTAAGGCTAAGGATGAGGCCTACCAGTCTCTGCATTGCCAGCCTATTGTGTGTGTGTGCATGTGCGGGGACACACACACACACACACACACACACACATTTTCATAGGACTTTCAGAAAATGTTGAATGACTGAATAAGAAAGAAAACTGAAGCCTTCTGAAGACTTGCCCTTCTTTCCTAGTGAGAGTAGCAGAGGGTGAGTCACATGTTACAGCTCATCCTATGGTGCCAAGGGCAGAGCTGTAAAGGGTAGCCTGCATTAGAATCTCCTGGCAGGCCTGGAAGCCAACTTGCTAGGCCATCCCCACAGCCTGTAGTCCTGCAGGTCCAGTGGGGCCTGGAGCTACATCTCCAGAAGGTCCCCAGACAATGCTGATGCTGTGGGGTGGGGAGCTTTCCCCAAGGTCACTTCTCAAGAGAGCAAGCAGTTGACTTTGATCTTTTGTGAGACTGGCCTGTAGTGTCCTTAAGAAGACTTCTGGGCCTTTCTGATATTCCTCACAGAGACGGGCACATGGTAAGCTCTCTCTAGGTGCCCCAGTGGCAGATTTGCAGTACCTTGATTCCTGAGAAGGAGTTTTCATAAACATCTGTGATACAATTAAAATTAAATCTAGGAGGGCTGGCGATGTAGCTCGGTGGTACAGAGCTTGCCTAGCGTGGGCAAGGCCTTGGGTTCAATCCCTAGCACCCCAAACAAAACCAACAAAACAGAACAACAAAAAAATCTAGGCATTAAAATGCTTATTTGGGGGCAAGTCTAGAAATACCTGTGTGGGGAATCCATAAACCTGTCAGCCCTGCCCATCCAGAAATTTCCCCAGGCTAGGGGTAGTCAGCACAGCGCCAGGATTCTCAGAAACCCTCACGTCTTTGGAGTTTGTGACCCTGTTGCTGAGAAGTACCTGGTGGTTCATTTTCGGGATCTCCAGGGATTCTTAGGCACCTTCTTAGCGCCAGGCAGGTCTTGGGAACTGTCATTACAAACCATTTTGTGCCTTTGCATTCAGCATGATTGATCTGCAGACAGTGGGGGAAGAACCAGACGGTAGGAGAAAATGTGTACTTTTATTGCATTCTTGCCAAATAGGAAAATTGAGTTAGATCTGCTATTCAGAATGACTGACAGAAAACAAATATGTTTGCTTTGAGTAAGGACATTTAGGTGACATTATTAGTTCCTACAAAATCCAAAGCAGTTTAGAGACTACATCAAACAAAATGATTCTATCTCTCGCTTCCAGAAATGTCACAATGGAAAAACCCCATGTTTGGCTTTAAGCAGACCTGGAATGACCCTTGCTTTTCCCCAGTGTTTCCACAGTGGATGAGTTACTTCAACGCATAAGTGAGCTGGAGGGGACCCTTGGTATACCCAGGGGACTTCCTACAGTGGGACAGGCCACACAGAACCCAGCATAGGAGCACGCCAGGCCTCCTGGAGCTAAGCAGACATAGGCCCTGTGTTCCCGCTCTGGTGTGCATGCTTCCTGGCACCTCAATGTCACATGATGGAGATGTTGGCCCACCAAAGCCCAGGCTTCACAAAAGCAGAAAATATTATCCTCTCATCTTTAACCATGCCTAGCAGAATGCCTGGCATATCCCAGATGTCCAGTAAGTGACTGTTACTACCAAAAGGTTGAAAGTTATCTTGCAAAGGAGGGGCCATCTACCCTCAGCTGACTGGTGGGAGGCACCTTGCAAAGAGCTGCGAGAGCCAACACCAGGGGGATGAGCTGCTTGTACGTGTTAAGAGGAATGGAGCCGAAGTGCGGCAATGACAGAAGAGGGCAGAGAGAGAAGGGGAGACCACAGTGCAGACTCCTGAGTGCAACTCAGAAGATCCAAGCCAGATAGCATGGCTGTGGGGCCATCTTGAGCCTGCAAGGGGCAGTAACCATGGCCTTCCCCGAGCCCAAGTTTATTGGCTTTGTCAGCCCAAACTTGAACATCCTGGGTTTTTTTCCTTGCTCTGTCAAGGAAGACACAAAACAGAATTACCTGATGTCCATCTCAGATTAGATAAAAGCTTTCCTAGGATATGGAAAATCATTACTTTATAAATAACAGCCCTGAAGAAAGATTGAAGACAAGAAATAGAAATAAGGAAGCAGATATGGGACTAGATGCATAAAAAGCATTAAAAGCTGTAGAAAAGGCTTTGGCCAACTTTGAAAACAGTCCCATAACTTTACAAGATAATTATTTTATATTCCTAGTTTGTTAAGCTTTTTTTTTAAACCAGGAATGAGTGTTAGATTTTCCTCAGTTGCTTTGTGTGTTTTGAGATGAGCATATGGACTTTCTATCTTAGTTTGTTAACATGATGACTTTCAAGGATTAATTGCAGCATGTCAAACCAACCTTGCATTCTTGGGATAACCCTTCCTGGTCATGATGTAGCATCCAGCCTCAAAGCATATGCAATGCTTAGGAATGAATCTGACAGAAGGTGTGAAGGATCTGAGATACTCAGCAGGGAAGACGATCAGGGTCTGAAAAAAGACAGGAGGCTGTTTGTGGGGAGAAGAGTGGCTGCACTTCACTGGTGTCTCTGGATAATATAGGACTATTTTGGGGAGAGGATCAGCACTAAGAGTGTGGAATGCCAAGACTGAATGCAAGGTGTGGAAGGTGGTGACTCTGGCACCTCTGAGGAGAATGTGGGGAAAGTGAACAGGAGTCTTGAGTTCTTGCTG